AAATTCTGGAATGTTTAATAGAAAAAAACACCATTATTGGTCAAGAGAAAATCTTTTGTTAGTACATCCAAGAGGCCCACAAGTCCGTTTCAGTTTCAACGTTTGGTGCGGTAGAATTGGTTCAAAAATTGTTGGCACGTTCTTTTATGAGGGAACCCTAACTGGTGAAAGATATGTGGAATTTATGTCAGAAATTCTGACTAATTTCTTAGACGAATTGGATCTTATAAGTAGACATCATCTGCATTTTCAGCAAGATGGCGCACCTGCCCACAACTCCAGAGGTACTTATCATTTTCTTAGTACTACTTTTAATGATCAGTGGATAGGAACAAATGGCCCAATACAGTGGCCTCCCAGATAGATGGTAGGACCATACTTAAGACAGTTCGAGCAGTTGAAAAACGTGCCCAAAAATGTATTGAAGAACAAGGTGGTGTTTTCGAGCATCTTCTTTAAAAAAAATTGTTATTGTATTTTGTAAGATTATAAGTTGATGTTGAAAATAAAGTTTGTCGATACAATTTAATTGTTTCAGATTGGAGGCCATAACTTCAACAATTTGTAACCTAGGAGAAAAGTTATTGTAAGCTTTTTTGTTTAAAATTTGATGCTTTAACAGAAAAAGATATAATATACAGGGGTTTCCATTTAAAAAAATGTTATTTTACTGAAAAAAATCAAAATAACGACTCTCAATTGTTTTTTTTTATTTCTCATTTTTACCAGCGTTAAAAATGCTACTAGTTTGCTAATTCAAACAACTTTGTATTTTCACTAATAACAAAGTTACTAATGGTGGACACTTAATTTGGATAACCCTGTATATATATATATATATATATATATACCTTAGGAAAAACCATTGTTATACATGGGAAATCATTTCTTGGCAACAGCACATCGGCTCGTCTACTTTCATCGCTATTCGTACATATTTCCTACCGTTAACCGCAGACCTGTATCACGAATGAGAATAATAGCCAGATACGCTGTGTTGCCAATTTGAGTAGAGCTTTCCGAATTGTGGGGAATTTAGAGTTAAGTGTTGATTCATTCAAGCTTTTAATCAGCATGGCCTAGACGTTAGAACTTCATAAAGATAACATTGAAGCTGAATGCTGCTGGAGTATAGTGTTTCGAATATTCAAAGCGGAGCGGGACACTATACTCGTTCAATGGGTCATCAAGCCACAGTCTTTTCAACAAAGAAATTATTTTACGAAAATGCGTTATATTTTTACGATTTTGTCGTCACCAAATCTCTGTTTCTCAAAATGTACGTCTATTGTAGAATTTTCAGCAAACTAAGCATGAAAAGTGATCTAGTATTTACTCAACATTACGGATTTCTCGAAATACATTAAAAAATGTGACCTAGATACCTAACTGCCCCAAGCTCTTTAAATATAACACCTTAAGCCAGGGTTACCAGGTGCTCAGTCACGTTGACTGTCATGTTGTAGTGCGCAAGTCAGCAAACAATCTGGCGTAATAAACGTTAGGAATCATCAGGTATTGCCAGATTCCCGAATACCGGGCACCATAGTAACCGTTATAGTTGTCCTTCAAAGTTGTCAAATCGCCCCTATGGCGCAAATTCGCCACACCAGGCAACTGTGCTATAAACAAACCCTGTTTATCACTACTATTTGATAGTCATATGGTAGTTGTAGCCCTATCTAGCGGTCCATGATTTCTCTCAATACTGTTGTATCTCTACTGGCAACAAGAATAGGGATAACAAAATCATTTATACAACAATATACAAACATGAAAAATATGATTTGAACCATGAAACATTAATACAATTTTAAAAGTTTGAACTTTTTTCATTTTTGGAATACTCTTATGTGGAATCCGCAGCTATTTTTCCCGAAATTTGGGTAGACTTAGATTTCTTAGAAATATGACATATTGGTATCGGCAACTCTGCGAATGGGAGAAACAAATCGCATTTGTTGAGCGCGTCCGTCTAAGCGGTAGGCGCCAGCGCCCGTTCTGTCATCTCTCTCTTTTATCACTCTTCTACTTTACCCCGTTGTCCGTCACAGTCCGACGCTGCCACATAGGATCCTACAATCGAGTGTCTTTCACGCACCTACATACTTTTGTATATTTCCATCTCTCTTCCTCATCATAATGTATAATAATGTTTTTTCCCAAGGTGTATATATATATATATATATATATATGTGAAAAATTAAAGCTTCCGCCTTTTGTTGGGTACTTCGACAAAATTTAAGCAAGGAGGACTCTTTATACTTTTTTTATTCTGTCTAGCTCCCAATGGTCTTTGCCATCATCATCAGGAGCTGCAATTTCATTGACACAGTAGCAACAATAGTGTAAGATGAATTTAAATTAACTTACAGTAGTATATGAGGATGTTGCTAATTATTGTTTTATGTTAAGGATGAGGGAAACACCCAGTAACATGGTGAAAGCTGGATAAATGGTACAATGCTTAAAATTATACAAGCTACACACAGGTATGACAAGAACAAGTTAAAAACAGATTAAAAAATATTTAAAACGAAAGCATTACATCGTGAAGCCACTTGATGATGATGATGAAATGGTGGGCACGGGATTACCTTTTGACAGATGGCCGAAGGTTAGCAGTGTCCTTGTAGAATGATGGAACGAAAATTCTTTTGTAGGCGTGTGCTACGTTGCCAAATCACTTCAGATGGTGTGATTGTCAAGATATGTTGGGTAAGAACTTGTCAAACCGACCAGAGGCAGTTGAATTACTATATTATTATTAGATGAGCAATTGAATTAACAGTTACTATTTAATTATGAGGAAACAGTTATTAAAATTTGAATAGAATGGAGTTTTTTGGTGGAATATACCAAAAAACAGATTCCATTTACGGTTGTGAAGAGTCAAAATTTGGAGAGATGTGTAAGTGCTCCAATTTTTCGCAGTTTAGCAAATATGAGTAAATGACGCTCAGTTGCTTAACATCTGTCTTCTTATTGATACAGTTGTCATTCATGAAAATGTGGGACATTTCCAGGAATAAACGTTTGGATAGGTGTTTTTCTTTATCGAGAACTTTGATACTTGTGTAGTTCATAGAGTGCCCTGTTGAGTTGACATGAGATGCTAGAGCACATCTTTCGGGATGAAGCCCAGAATCACTTTTGTGTGATGTAATCCTTCCTTTAAGAGATCTGGAGGTCTGACCTATGTATATTTGGTTGCAATTATTGCAATTGATAGAGTAGACTGTGTTGGTTAAGCCAAGCAGCGGGACTCTGTCTTTCATCTTTGAAAAAATGGAGTTTATAGTGAGGACGGATTTGCAAGCAATTCGACAGTTCAACGGACTGCATAATCTGATCAGCTTAGGGGTCAGTTCCTTGATATAGGGCAGGACAGCAAAACCAGATCTGGAATTTGGGATGGTGGTTGTACTGTTTGAATTGGTGTTGTTGTTGGGAATTCTATCAGTTCTGTTATTAGGAGTTGTGAGACTATTGCTTGTATCATTAGAGTTTGGTAAAATACTGGGAGGTGAGCTGAACAAGATCTTGTTAATCAGACACTTCGGATAACCATTGTTAATGAACAGTTTTGATAGTTTCCGTAAATTTGAAGTGTGAAAAGTATTATCTGAGATGCTGATTACCCTTGTTTTCATCTGTTTCACCAAGTTGATTTTAATCCCTAGCTTATGGTATGACATAAAATTGAGGAACCGGCCTGAGGCCATGGGTTTCTGGTACCAGTCTACCAATAAACTATTGTTGTTGGTGCGGATGAGTCTTCTGTCTAGAAAGGGGACAGACAGGTTCTCATCTTCTTTTTCAATGGTAAATTGGATGTAGGGGTCATAGCTGTTGAATTTCTCTGACAATACCATCCACACCTCTGGAGGGGAGGCATAAAATAATGTTCATCTACGTATTTTTTTATGAAGATTACACACATTTTCATGAATGACAGATGTTAAGCAACTGAGCGTCATTTACTCATATTTGCTAAACTGCAAAAAATTGGAACACTTACACATCTCTCCAAATTTTGACTCTTCACAACCATAAATGGAATCTGTTTTTTGGTCTATTCCACCAAATTTTAATAACTGTTTCCTCATAATTAAACAATAACTGTTAATTCAATTGCTCATCTAATAATAATATAGTTAATTCAACTGCCTCTGGTCGGTTTGACAAGTTCTTACCCAACATATCTTCAAAATCACACCATCTGTAGTGATTTGGCAACGTAGCACATGCCTACAAAAGAATTTTCGTTCCATCATTCTACACGGACACTGCTAACCTTCGGCCATCTGTCAAAAAGTTAATCTTACTCATGATTCCATGCCCACCATTTTGTGCAATCATCAAGTGGCCTCAAGATGTAATGCTTAACTTTCCTTTTAAATATTTTTTAATCTGTTTTTAACTTGTTCTTGTCATACAGCTGTGTGTAGTTTGTATAATTTTGACCATTGTACCATTTATCCAGCTTTCACCATTTTACTGGGTGTTTCCCTCATCCTTAACGTAAACAACAATTAGCAACATCCTCACATACTACTGTAAGTTAATTTAAATTCATTTTACACTATTGTTGCTACTGTTATCAATGTAATTGCAGCTCCTGATGATGATGGCAAATACCATTGAAAGCTAGAGAGAATAAAAAAGTATAAAGAGTCCTCCTTGCTTAAATTTTGTCGAAGTACCCAACAAAAGGCGGAAGCTTTAATTTTTCACCTAACTGGTCTAGACGACAATGACCACGTCTCAAGTTATATATATATATATATATATATATATATATATATATTAAAAACTAGTCAAATCTTAAGTAATTTGATGCTGAACAGCAAACTTGCCGAGTTTGCGGCTGAGTATACAAAAAAAACACTACAAGCAAGTTACAGACTAATACAAAGAAGCCACTTGCAGTTCAGCTGTTCACCTCAGTCGACGTCAAAACGTGATGGATAGTCGTGAAATAGTGTCAATTCAGAGATTCAGCGCATCAAAAACCCTCGGGAAAGTATACTGTGGTTTCTGGATACGAGGATCGGCGCAATTTGGTCAAATATTCGAAAAGGAAAGACGGTATGTACCTCAAAGACATCCTTAATCTCTAGTTCATACGACCTATGGGTTTCAGCATGAGTATTCTTCACATATTCCTGAATAATACCAAACTGTTCCGATTCTTTCTCCAATGGTTGTATCTCTGCATTCAAGGTCTTGTAGTAGCTGTCTACTGTGTGTTCAGATCCTGAAGACTTCATCAGATTGTATGCTATTTCTATTTCCATCAGATTGTCTAACATCTCTATCTTTGCCTAGAAACAATAAATAGATAAATGTGCTTTACTGCCTTAAGAATTCTTAATAACAACGCTAACTTAAAACAAATATATAATAAATTAGAATATGATGCTCTTGAGTAGGTGTATTGTAGAACTCATACAAGGTGTAATATGATTTATTCATTAGAATGTTTTTGAGTTCACGGTGGGATATGTTTAAATTTTTTATTCTTTCGATAGCATCAGGGAGGCACACGTAAATGTTCAGACCATTATTATGAATTATTCACAAGTGCTGATTTAGGTACTATCAATTTAAGATATTGTTTTCGTTTAATATCATAAAATAATTTTGAGAACTGAGACACCAAAAGAGAATGCTGCATCTTAATCTACTTTCGAGTAATACAAAGTAACTGCTAAGGCTGTGCTTTTTCCTACGTTGCAACTAACTGTTCTCATAATATGGGAAACATTTTTTAATTGAGTAATCAGTTCCAAGTATTAAGTCACTCTTTAAATTTACTGAATCAAGAGAACATTTAACACTTATAAATTTTGTTTTATTTATTCACTAATATAAAGTTTATTGTAAAAATATGTCGAGTAATTCTCCCGGAGCTTCCGAAAAGTACGAAAAATTTTGCAAACCAATTGTTGACCTCTTAGGCAACTTCAAGATAAAATTAACATAACAATACGTGTTCATGAAGACCATATCAAAATACTACAAATACTGCAGAACCTTGAAATCAGGTGGTTCATCAGAGAGATATTTTAGACTGGACCTCAGAACTCTTTTACTTGCCTTAACTTCGTCCATACTGTTCAGGAGAGGTGGTTCATCAACACCAAGAGAATGTGGAACAAAAGTGTAAAATCTATTTGAAGCATCTATCAATCTTGCTTCAGGGGCATTGTTATTCAATAGATTTTGGATTTCAGTTAGCACACCATAGGCTTTTTGGATCTGAGCCTTGCTCAATTTACCTAGAAGAGATCATTGGTGAATAAGTTATGTATTTTTGGTCTACATTCACGATGTAATTTTGTTACTCGGAACTAGTTTAGAACTGTCAAAATGAAAGATTGTTTCTTACAAAAGTGACAATTTGAATAATGCAAATCTATAGTATGCAATTTGGACGAATAGAAAAAATAAATCTCTTGCCAGTAGGATTTAACCATCCAATTCCCAAAGTCCCATTGAGGGATTCCATTTTCAATAGTTTTCAAAAAGTTGATGTGGATCGTTCTCATCACTAAGATGAAAGGAAACATCGATTTGCAGAAATGAAATTGATATAACTTCCTGAGACTGGTAGAGACGTGAAACACGTGGTTTGAGGTTGCTGTCTAGACTTAATTTGGCGAGAGAGAGACTAGCTTCATTTTTGGTTACCATGGAAACGAAAAGGTAGGTTTTTTTTAAATAATCAACTTCCTAAATTCTGTTGCGAGTAACTAGAAGTCATTATTTTTTAAGTTTGTTATCTCATGTCTGCTTTAGGGGAGCTGGGGCACGGAGATCGCTACACGTTGATGTAGTTATTTTTATTGAAGCATGACTGAGTTGAGAGATATTTGTTTGTAAATAAACACTTAATTCTAAAATTTTGAACAAAAATAGAATTATTATGTTACTGTCATAAATTTTATTATAAACTCAGAAGAAAAAAATCTAAAACCAAGTGCAAAAAAATTATTTTTTAAAGTTACGATAAAATATATTAAATAATGTTCATAATATATGTAAAACTGTACTCTAATTGGGTCTTCCACTCATTTCGCATTCCCAACATCCTCTATATGGGAGTATGTTCCGGTTCACATCCCAATATTGTTATTTTTAAAAAAATACAATTCCCATGTGTCTTGTTTATTAAAAATATTATTTAACGTCCCTACGCTTTGTAGTTTTTTTCAATGATTTTTTAAAATCCGCTCAACCTGACGGCCTACCCTGTATTGTATCTAATAGACACCATACTAACAAAAAAATCATTCAAATATATATTTGCCAAGTTATGGGCATTGGAGAGTTAAAAAAAATTGTTGCTAAAATATTGAATAGAGTCATTGATTGATAGATATCCAATCCTGAAACCGTGCCTGCACCAAAATATGTCTACAAGCACAAGGCTCTTGAGGTAGCATCCACAACATGAAGGAATTCAAGTGAGATTTTTTTTCATTTTTCCCATGTCGAGTTTTATATAATAATTGTGTGTCAATTTTGATCAATTAATATATGTATCATCAACAATCAACTTACAATGTTAGTCTTCTTTCACGACAAGTAATCCAAAACGGAGAAATACTATAAATCATTAAGAGACATCAAAAAATGTACAATTTTAAATATAGATCGATAGAGGCACTTCATTGAAAAAATAATTGAAAGGCATGCTACATCCATAGAAATTTGAAGAGAAAATTAAATTTTCAACAGTATTAAAGTATTTCTTTTTTTTGAAGTTTGATGCTTTTATTATAATTGCTCTTTCTCCATTTTATTTTCATTACTATTCTCAAAAGAAGACTTCAATGATATATTTTCAATGATATTTTAATTGATCATGATTGTTCTACAACATTGTCTTTGTACGACGTTCTGAGGAAGAAAACATGTTTGAAAGCTCTACAAACTTTCTGGCTTGAATTTCTTTGCGTGAGTGACAATAGAAATTGTACCCAAACGTCAAAATTCAGCATGATAATCGGTGGTATTAGTTTACAAATAAAGATGTTTAAAAAACCAATCAAGTAATCAAAATACGACAGAGAATAAATATTTGCTGCTGATGAATTGAATCAAGGCAACCAGTTGGATTTTTTGTGTGTGTTGGCATTAACATTATTCCTCAAAACTGAATGGAGTGTCATATTTTCTTACCCAACGGCATTTTCTCAGTATCCAATTCAAACTCCAACAATGTTTGCTTCATAGAATCCACATCAAAGATCATTTTCATCAAATTTTGAACTGGTTTGGGTAGTTTTGATTCTGAGTCCACGATGTCTAAGTTCTCCATACCATTCTCTGATAGGAAAAAGAAATCATAAACTTTGCTGTTAAACAGATTGAACTAAAAATAATAGCTAATAATAGTTTGAAACATTTCAAGAGAGACATTAAAATATTTTAGAATAATTATTACCGCTTCCATAGTCTAGCTCAACAGGCATCATTTTTCCAGGAACCTTCACAAAATTGTGTCTGAAACACCACATGTTGCCACTTTTCTCCTCATAGAGATTCTCAAAGTGATGTATGGCGCTGTCTAAGTCCGGCATATCCTCTACCTTGTTACCTAAAATGTTCAGAGAATATTAACGTACTGAAATTGCAACTCATATCCACTAAAACTGAAAACAATGGCGTTAACTAGGTTGACTGCACTTCCTACGCACTGCTGTTATTCATAAAGGATTATATTCGGCACAAGCTAGCCCCTCTTAGGCAAAAGATGGCTATGAACATATGACAAAGGAATTAAATGAATCATTTCAGTCAAACAAGTTCATACAATTAGTCCATAGTCTCCACAGACTTGACAACATTGCGGTCTGGTCTACCGCTCTACCGACAATACCGACCGTCAGCAGCGTGACAAATATACCAACCGCGGCACTCACAAACCCAGCACGGGGGCAATGCATACATGGCCGCTCAGTTATCCCTCAATATTCGAGGACGACAGACGTACGCTCGCTGATTTGTCTGGCACAAGTATAGCGAAAATATATTTCTATCGTCTTAAGGACAAATGTACGGGGAAATCTATGCTGTATGAAGTATGTCTGATAGGCGCGTAGAATAACTGGGGTTGAAAACTCTCCTCCATCCCATACAACCCCCAATTTTTAGCCCGTATAAATTTTTTTCTGAAAAAGATCAGAACCCTTTGACACGTCAAAAAACGAGCTTTGGACGATTAATGTCCTTTAGTTTTTTGCCTGGTAGCTCCGCCGCCACTAGGCCGATTTGCAAAAACTACAATGCTTTTTCGTTCTTGGTATAATGGAAATCTTGTGTGAAAATTAGATCCAAATTATACAGGGTGACAGGTAAATAGATGTAAAACATTTTAGGAGGTGATAGTACAGCCCCTTTGCTATCGAAATTAGTATATAATACCATACCCTGTATTCAAATGTTGAAAAGTTATTGAAGATTTAAGATTTTTTTAAAAACAATCCATATTTCAGAGTAAAAAAGTCGAGAGAGAAAAAAGTTGGCGATTAAACATTTGTTTTTTGTGGTTTTGGGTTATTATTTCAATAACTTACTATTATAAATTAAAAAAGATTCGAAAACAATACCAAACAACGTATTTATTTTCATTCAAACATGTTTAACTAAGAAAAACAAATAACGTTTTACAGTAAGTAAGGTGTTTTACAAAAAAATCAGTATACAAAAAAACGTACAAACAATTTAAATAATATCCTTGTTTCATAAGGAATCTAAATTGGTATGATAAGCGCACAAAAACTGTGTGAAACTAAACATAATGTATTGTGTAATACAACAATAGGGAGTAAATTTACCAATGGCTTGTCTCCTATTTTCACAACTCTCTGATTGATAAGAAAGTGTTTTTGTGAAAATAATGTAACTGTAAGCTATGGGATAGTTATTATTTTAAGCTACGGTTAAGTTACACGATTAGGTTATTTACACAGTTGTAATTGTACTACAAAATAATAAAAACTGACTAAAAGTTACTACAATTGGTGAGTAAAATACAATAATGAAATGAAGGTAAAATTCATTGCAATTGTTGTTCGAACTGACGCCCGCCGTTTCTTATGCAAGCCCGTAGTCTTTTTCTCATATTGGTACGCGCGATTCGGCCAGTTAGTTGTCCTCTGATAGTGTCAGCAATAATTCTTTCTTTCAACTGTGCAAGAGTGTCTATGGGCTCAGCGTACACCAGTGACTTCATGTGCCCCCATAAATACTAATCACACGGTGTTAAATCTGGGCTCCTCGCTGGCCACGGTGTCGGTCCACCTCGGCCAATCCAGCGACAAGGATATTTCTCGTCCAGCCACTGTCTAACACCCAGACGGAAATGCGCGGGACAGCCATCGTGTTGGTAGATCATCTGCATCCTGATATTCAGAGGCAGGTCTTCGAGATACTCCCAGAGTTCGGATCTCAAAAAGTTTTCATAGGATTCGCCATTCAGGTTGTCAGGCAAAAAAACTGGTCCTAGATACGTATGAATGATTCCCATCCACACGTTTGCCGAAAATCTTCTTTGATGGGCTCTTGGCTTTGTCATGTGGGGATTTGCCTCTCGTGGGGCCCAATAATGTAAGTTGTAATAATTTGTTGTCCCCTTTCTGTCAAACTTAGACTCGTCGGTCCACAATATTTTAGTTAAATAGTCGTTTTCTTCTTGATCCCGATGAAGCATGTATCGACAAAAATCAATTCTGCTTGCGGGATCTTCTTCTTCTAATACTTGAACTGGCGTGTAATGGAAAGGGTAAAGTCTCGTCGAATGCAAAACAAACCAAACTTTCCACTGAGTTAAACCAAGCTGCTTTGCTATAACTCGTGTAGACGTCGTCGGGTCTCTGCCGTAGCATTCCAGTATTGCCTCTCGATATTCATTGTCAAACAACCGAGGTCTACCAGCATCATGACGTCTCTCATGAACCTGTCCACTTTCCTTGACGCGTTGGTACACATAAGCAAATACTCGATGACTCGGTATTCGGCGATTCGGAAAACGGTTTTCGTATTCTCGCCTGGCTTCAACGGAATTTCCATCACTTAAACCATAACAAAACAGAATATCAGCGTATTCTTCGTTACGGTAACTCGCCATTATTAAAACTGATCAAAAAAGTAAAAGCGTTAGTTCACTTTCCTTGATCCGTCAGCTGTGTCAATTCATAACATACGCAGATCTTGCTTCCGAGGAGCGAAGACAGATTCCGAATACTTAAACCCGAATAACGGCACAGGGCACAAAAAATAACAAAAAGGGTCGAACCATGAAAGGCTCGGTTTACCTGCTCAGTACAATGAAATGCGCTTAGCCGTCCTTTCTAGCAAAGTAATATTGTTTTGTTTAATGGTTTACTTACTGATATGTTATTATACCATTTTAGAAACCTAATGAAACGAGGAAGTTTTTGCAGTTATTTGTACATTTTCTTTATTATGATTTTTTTGAAAAAAAAGACTTCTTAATGTGAAAGTTGAAAATAAAAATTTTCATTTAACATTTAAATTAAAATAAATACGTTTTCAGTAGTGTTTTCATATGTTTTTTAATTTATGAGAATTATTTATTTAAATAATAACCTGAAACCACCAAAAAAAGAATGTTTAATCACCAACTTTTTCATATCTCAACTATTTTACTCTGTAATCTGGGTTGTTTTTTAAAAAAAATAAATCTTCCATAACTTTTTAACCTTTGAATATAGGGTATGGTATTATATACTAATTTTGATAGCAAAGGAGCTGTACTATCACCTCCTAAAATGTTTTACACCTATTTACCTGTCAAGGATTAGCAGACAGTCCGGCAGAGTGACATGATTTTTCGTGATGTACAGGGTGGCCAATTAAGAACGCGAGGTACTGTATCTGGGAACCTATCCATCATAGAAGCTTGCGGCAAAAACAGTTATTACCAAAATGGCCAAGAGAAAAAACTGGAAAACATTTTCAAGTTTCTGAAATGGCCGCTAGGAGGCGTAACTGCAATCTTGAATCTGAAAAGAGATGTTTCTGTGAATTCCGCTACATTAAGCTAACAAAAAATATCTGATCTTTAAATTCGAGGATAATATGATCCTTTTTTTCAAATGTTTGCTGTATCTCTAAAAATAAAGTGGTGGAGGGGGGGGGGTAGGTTTAGTTTAAAGAACGTTTTATACGGAAAACCCTTGAATTTTTATTGTTTAAACAATTTTTTCTTGTTATTATTAAGTATTAGAAGGGCCGATTTAAAAAAGAGAGGTTTTTAATGCCCCTAAATGCTCGAAATGCTGATCATCACGCTCTGTGCATTCCTGAAGCCTCTCATGGGTGGACAAAACTGGCTTTTAAATTTTGGTTCCCGGTATGTTACGTATTGCATTACGAATCCGGTTTTTCATATCTGCATTTCATATGTCCTTTAACCGTCCCCATAAATAAAAATCAAGACAAATTAAGTCTGGTGATCGCGAAGGCCATGGAAACAGACTTCCTCTTCCAATCCATTACTGTTGAAAGACTGCATTAATATGCTCTTGCACAATACATAATAGCAAAATGTGCCGGGCAACCACCCAACCGCAAATACAAATTCTGCCGTGTTTGCAATAGCACATCTTCCAACAACAACAGTAATTGATTGTCCAAACAAGTCAAGACAGACATTGCCATTCAGGGATTGCTCGAAAAAATATGGCCCAATAATTCTGCATTCCAGTATGCCTCACCACACATTTAAACTCCAACGCCCTTCGTGCTGAAACAATGCGGATTTTCTGCAGACCAATAATACATATTGTGCAGATTGACTCTCCCGTCACCTATTAAAGGTGGCTTCATCGGTCCAATGAATTTGAAATAAAAATTATCTATTTTCGCGTATCACGCCTACCATCCAATGGCAACAGTCCAACCTTCGATCAAAGTCTTCCTGTTTTAAGGCCTCATGCAAAACGACATGATATGGGTGCATTCTAAAGGTAACTAAACAAGTTAATTTAAATAAATCCTTATATTTCTATAGCTATTAAAGCTTACCTATGGCCCTTCAAAATATTTTGAACCGTTCTTTGTGATATGCTCAACTCAACGGATAATTCCTTTGTGCTAACAAAAGGATTTCCTTCAATATACCCCAGTACCCAGTTAATATTAAGTTGTTCCAATTTCTTGCGGTTGAAACGAAGGATGAAAAGAACCATTGGCTCGTGGGCTCGCCACTAATTGGAGAAAAACTCTCACATCGCAAAGACGCCGAGTTGGATATTGAGTCGCGTAAACTCTTCTTGCTACTGCGGCATTCTGAAGACATTCAAAAGAAACTGCAAGCAGATCAGCTTCATCGTTCGTAAAACGCATTTGGAAAGCAATAAAATTGTTCAAAGTAACGCGAAACTATTGACAATTTGAGGATTATTTATGATTTGATTAGGTATTTAAATAAAAATTTGAGAGATTTGCGTATAAAATTTTCTTTGGCCTAAATTTTAGGTGAGAAACAAGATATCGAGATGCGGTTTTCGCGAGCTTGTTTAGACATCATTTAGCTACTTTTTCATATCAACAATCATACCAATCCATTTAATTTTCTTGAGAAAATTAAGCATTTCTGTAGGATTTTCGAAAAACTCCCTCTAGCGGCTACTTCTGAAACTAACAAAACTTCAAATATAACATTTGTAGCCCAAGTGCAACTAACAAGTTTGTTAAAATCGGCTCAACCGTTTCGAAGATACAGGGTGTATTTTACGGAAACCTTTGAACACCCTCACCACTTTCTTTTTAGAGATACAACAAAAACTGTCAAACAAAAAAGTTCACATCATCCTCGACTTTAAAGATGTGGTATTTTCTCCTTTTGTACGATATCCACTTACCCTTAGCGAAAAAATGCGCGCTAACGGTTTTTGCAAAAACAAGTGTGATTTTCGCAAACTCATCATCCTGCTTGTTTGCGATAAAAAAATCGCGTTAAGTAGAATCACTCTATACTTCCCACGTCTTTATTTAAAATTATCTAGTTTCAAAGTAAAAACGAAATCGAACCCGAGTCCGTTATATCGTAAATCTCTATATATCAAACTGTATACAATTTATCATATTTCTGTGTGATTAATATGCCTTAACAGGTGTATCATTTAAAACCTTCCACCCCCTACAACCACCAATTTTCTCTGAAAATGATCACGAGGCTCTGAAAGTTAAAAACTGTGTTTTGGCGATTCAGCACTGTAGCTACGCCTCCACTGGACCGACTCTCAAAAACTACAAAGTTTTTTCGTCCTTTTCATAGTAGTAACCTTGTGTGAAATTTTCATCAGAATCCCAGTAGTACTTTCAAAGTTATAGCAGACAGACAGACCGCCGGAAATAAATTACATGGTTTTTCGAGATGTACATGTCATATAACATCAAAAAAACAATAACCTCGACTGAAATACTTCCTGGCCAGTTACGTAGGAAGTAAAAGTAGAAAGAAGTAAGAAGCAAAAGTGTCAAAAATAGTAATCAATATTTTTCGCCTATAACAATGACCGACCGATACCGAGTTAGCGGATGCTAAATATAGTCGAAATCACGAAAGATTACTATTAGGTTATACCATAAATTATACCGAAGTAATCAATGGACGTACGTCGATGATAAAATCACGATCTCAGGAACATAATGACAACAAATCATTTTGCGAAGTTAGGTTATTTCAATGATTATTTTTATTTTCACTTTATTTCATGGTTTTGAAGTATTATTCGAAAACCACCTAACCTGCTTTAACATAACCTAACTATTCATCTTTCAAATATGATCGAACATGCAACATGAAAACATCGTCTGTCTTTGTCGGATACATGCAAGTTAGCAATACAGTTTATTTAGGCAATAAAATCATGTTTGTCTCTGTCTAACATATCTGAAACTTCATTAAAAATATTCACAAATCGCTGTCGTTTGTCTTTGGCACAGACTAAAATGATGACGTAATCGTCATCTTTGGTGATTTCGATTATATCGGCCGTTCCTTTTTATGAGTCACCATCAGAAAAGTATATCCGTAAAACTATCAACCTTGATATATTTCAAAGAGAGAGAAAATAGATCAAGTTTTTTCTGAGGCGAGCAACACTTATGATGCGAAACAAAGCATGTTAACCCCTGATGGAACAAAGACTTTGTTATTCTTACACCGAAATTTGCGTAAATCAAATTTTGAATGTTTTAACCACATTAACCATCCTGTATCTCAAACGTTTAGGTCACAAGTTCATTTTAAATGTTTTTCTTAAAATAGACCCAAAAATCACCCTCATAAATATTGACATTCAATTAGAAAGCACCATGTACTCGTATATATCGGTATCGGCCGATCTCTACTTTTTCCCTATTTCAAGATGCTGAATTCGTCTTTCGATTTTCCAGACAGCACTTTTCAACGTGTCGTACAGATTTCTTTATCTTATCAAATTTGAAAATATTACATTTTTGAAAGTGACAGCTAATTTACGAAACGCTGATTTAATTTTGTTATAATTTTTTGTTATTTTCACCTCCAATAGTAGTTCCAATCCGTCCCCAAGCCCTGAATACCCAATACTTCTTATGCTTGTCTCCTTCCAACAATTGCAACTTATAATAACTATTCCTCTTCGTCTGTATATCCGTGAGTGACAGCACTACCGAGTAGATGTCATCTTTGCCTCTCTGGTAGACATGCGCCTTGTGCTCTAATCCAGAGTCCGGATCGACGGCGGTGCCCCCTTTTATCTGGATCTTCATCTTGTCTGGAACGGACTTGGTGTAGATGCTGGCAGACTTTGATTTAGATTTTGATTTGAGGCTGGGTTCGGCTGGGAGTCTGGTTGACGGCTGAAAACAAAGAAAAGTATTTTGTAGAATGGTTCTTTATCCCTCACGACAATCGGGGAGGAAGTAATGTACTAGCAAAAATATTCAAAAAAATAAGATATAATAATAAAATAATGTTTATTGTCACAAAGTATAGGTAAACATTAAATATTGTGCACAGTAAACATAAATCACCCAGAAAATTTTGCACTTGGGTTTGGGTTTGTTAGAAACAAAACCTAAAAGTTCATTGTTTGAAAAACATAAATACTAGAGAATTTGGTGGATTGAATTATTATGGGGATCTCAGGTAAAATATCCAGACAATTATAACTAAAGTAAAAGTATGGATGTTAATGCAAGTAACATATTATTGATTTTGATACTGATTTTTCACATCTACAATTTCATAAATGGAGGATTTTGGTTGTTGTAAAATTCATTTTCTGAGTTGTTTTTTAAATGATCTAATTGATTTAATTTCTTTTAATCACTCTGGTATGAAGTTATAGAATTTTGGTCCCAAGAAAAACAGAGATCGTTGTGTAATGGTTTTTGATGTTTGTGAAATACACTTTGAATTTTGATTGAATCTTGTTCGGTAGTTGTGAATGGCACGATTCAAGTATTTCGAATATTTAGTAAAATGTATTAGACCACAATAAAAATAAATTTGTCTGCAATCTAATAGTTGAGCCTCCATATATAGAGAATGACTCGAATAAGTAATCTCCTTATAGAGGATCAATTTTAGAATTCAAGTTTTTTAAATTGTGGTGAAAGCCTATTATTACAAGAAAATGCTATATACGAGCCCCTTCCCACTTTGTACCAAAAAATGCCTTTATCAACTAAACATGACGAAACTATTTACTTCTAAAACAATTCATTTTCTCAAAAACATTTTAGATACACTCTAGTCGTAAAAAATACATATTTGAAATCACTTAGACCTATAACTAATAGAACATCTGAACAAATAAAAAATGTGCGAATAAATGCGCGAAGTTAACAAAGCAACAATTGAAAGATTACCATTGGGTAACATCACCTTTATTTTTTATTACGGCTGAAATTCTTTGTTATCCAAGTTTTGGCAAAAATTTGGTGTAAAACAATCCCATATTTCTTGAAGCTTTTGTCTCAGTTCGCTGATTGTACGAGCAGGATGTTGTCGTAGAACCTTTTTCATCTCGTGCCACAAAGTTTCAATAGGTGACAGATCTGGACTGCTAGAAACCCATTTCAAAAGTGGTACATTATTTTCTTCCATCCATTTTATAGCCTTTTTTGAGGTATGGCACGCTGCACCATCTTGCTGAAACACAAAATCTTGGCCGGATGTCAAACATTCTTCCATCACTGGTAAAAGCGATTCTTCTAAAATTGCCAAATATTTGTTTGTATCCACATTTCCATCAATAAAATGAAGTTTTCCTACTCCTTTTGATGACATACTGCCCCAGACCATAATGGAGGCTGGAAATTTCACTTTTCTCTTCAGACAGTCAACATGGAATGCTTAATTTTTTTTGCGAATAACTCTACTGCGACTGTCACCAACACAAACTTCGAATCGGGCCTCATCACTCCATTGTATTGCACACCATTGTTGAGGTGTTTATTGTCCATGTTCTTTAGCCCATCTAAACAAGTTGTGCAACTTTAGGGTTTTTACTTCACTTTTTTTTTATAAGAAAACTTACCTTGCAAATGCTAAATCCCAGTTTGTGGGCCTCTCTATGAGTTGTGGACCTCGAAATTCTCCTTCCAACAGCGTCACTCCACAGAGCACTTACTTGTAAACAATTGGCGCGCCTGTTTTTAACGATTATTCTTCTTAATGCTCTTCTGTCGGCATTTGTGATATTACTTTTTTCACATATCGTAGCTTAAAATTTAATTACCAGTAACCGAATTTTCTCACTAATAACCTTTCCTCTACCCACTTTGAAAACCTTAACTACCCAAAACTATTTTAAACGTATTCTGACAGCTGTGATTGATAAAAATAATTGTCATCGCTTTTATTTTTCACAGCCACCTATGCGTTATAGACTTATTTTGCATAGAAGTGAAAATAGGTTGATATGCTGTAATTGCAACATGTGTTATTTTTATGCTGCAAATTTGATTAGGGAGTGATAAAGTTGGTGTTTTCTACTATATATTATCAAAATATTCATTGTTAATATTTTAAACCTATACATTTTTATTATTTGTGTTTGATAAGAAAAAAACTAAGATTTCAATAGTTGGGAAGGAGCTCGTAGTGTATTTTGTTGTAATTAATTGTCATATATGTTTTACTTCATAGGATAATTCCTAGAAAGTAATGTAATCACTAAATATTTCGAAAATGATATATGTTTTTGGATGATACATGCCATGTAGTCTGCGAAAACCAAAACTTACCCACTTTTGGCCGGAAAAACAAGGTCGAAATCGCTTTAAAATTAGCTTATCTCAAACTACACTTCAAGGTCTTATAAAGCAATGTTTTTACTTTAATTTAGATAGTTGACGACCTCAACAATATAATTTATAATCGAGTTTTTAAGCATTGAATGTACCCGCACGGTAATTTAGATCAAATTTGTTTAAACATTTTTTTTAAATAAATCACATTTGCTTTCCCGACAAATTTATCCAGGTTTTTTTGGATAATTTTGAGTAGAAAATGCGTCCATTAAATCTACTCTAAAGATGACCATTTTCGACTTATAAGCGGTTTAATGTCTAGGTGGCGTTCACAGAGAAAGCTGGGTTGTCGACTATAAGACTGGCTATACCCTATTCTTAGTCCATTTTCGCCCCGACACAATAAAGATGCAGCACGGCAAAGCTGCAACCGCCTAAGCGTCGAAATAGCTATTTTCCATTCGGCCATAAAACTACGAACAAGTGCAGGATTCGGCAGGATAGAACTCAGGCTCGGGGCATCGCCGACGCCGGCAGTTGCTGTTCATATTCGGTGCATACATAGCGTGTGTTTATATGTTAGCATTTCGTCTACGGATACAGCAGATGAAACTGAGAATATTTCTCTCAATGCTTCCTTCAGCCATGCTTCCTCTTCAGTGATGTCTCCTCCCCGATAACGCGACAAGAAGGGACATTTGAATATTCAGACAAAAGAAATTGTCCTTAACGTTTATAAAAGCGAAATTTTAGAGCATCCTGAAATGGAAATGCATGATATTGACGGACGTGTGGCGAACCAAACAGGCTTATGTCCTAAGACAATTTTTGTTAAAGAATATAAAAAAATTGTCTCCACCACACAAAAGGCTGAATTACACGAAGCTGTTGGATACAGTTGATAACATTGATCGGATTGCCATCAGATGCAAAGTCCATTAATTTTTTGAAAGGCAGGAACTTCGTACCATAGACAAAGCATTGCAGGAGGTTAATAGTGATGAAGACCTACTTTCAAAAGGACCACGTTCTATAGTTTACTCAAAGAACTTCATTTTAAATATAGAAAACGGGGCAGAAATACTATTTTGATGAACAGGCAAGAGATTATTTTATGGAGAAGAAATTATTTAAGCTCAATAAAGAAATACCGCGACCAGGGCAGGAAGATTTATTACTTCTATGAAACCTGGTTAAACGCCGGACATACAAAACCTAAAGTATGGGCTGACTCTACAATTAAATCAGCAAGACTAGCCTTCTTAGATGGCCTAAAGAATCCGTCAGATACGTGTATCTAACCAATTAGTCATTGATGTGGCAGAAATGGTGTCAAGTAGACGGAATCTTTGAACCCATGCTGAAAACTTATCTACACTAAACTTAGCTATATCTGGTAGATTTGGAACCAGCACCTGTTAGATCCTTTGCTTGTATTTTTATTAGTTTTCTTGAATATCATATCAAATAATTATTTCCAGGAAAAGGAAAACGATTTGTTATCTGCCACAGTGGCCTTGTGCCCACTGCCCTATAGGCATTTGAGTCAAAGAAAACGACCAACTACTATGAAGAAATGGACGGGAGTTCATTTGAACAATGGTATGAAGAAATGCTCCCAAAGCTTGACGACATTGTACTTGATAATGATGCATACCACACTAGAAAAAAATCCCACAATGTCCACAAAAAAAAAAGAAATTCAACAATAGCATCAAAAGACATTAGGTTCATTGAAAATATGGTCAAAGCAGAAGTCATCCATCTGGTCAGGCAGCACAAATATAAATATAATCTGAATGTTATTGACGAAATGGCTAAAAGCCAAAATAAGACCGTTTTAAAAATGATTTGGGCAAATATAAAAAACTATGCGGCTTCAAACAACAGAACATTCAAATTTTTTGACATGCAAAATTTGTTTTAAGAAGCTGTCAACAGAGTGACGGAAATATTGCATCCGTCACGTTCGACAATCGAAACAAAGATGTGGGATCTGGACAATATGGAAATTGAACCTGTAATAATTAATATTAGCCATTCGCACGATGATTCAAGTACTTCCAGTGAATAAACTATTGTGAAAAGTATGTGCACTTCTTTCTATAAAAATAATCATTTATTTTGTTAGATTATTCCAAGACCATTCAGGAAAATACGGACCTGTATAAACTCGCTTTTGGGCATGTTGTGTTTTGTCTGCCGAACAGTCAATATTTTTCAAGTTATTTTTGATGATATTCAAGTTATCATATGGGCTCATGTAGATGTTATATGGATACTCTCAGGAACTAAACTGCAATTATCAATAAACTTCACAGAAACATGTGTCAATATGATATCTTGAACATATAAAAATTCCAGACATGTTAAATTAAAAAAAAAACTTACATCAGAGCCCCAATTGCAGATACTCTTCTGAATTATCAAATCTGGAATTTTTCCTGTATTATTTTTAGCTTCATCTACAAAATCTTCACTAACAACATGAATCTGCTCCGCTTCGGCATCCGTCATTTTGGAACCTGAAAAAATCCATCAGTAAAATTAAAAACGTTTCGAATGTCATAAAACATCTATTTCATTTAAAAATAAGCCTTGATTACGAATTGGAAATTAAAGTATTTACCCATTTTTTCAACATCAGCAGGGGTAGATATCACAGCCATAACACTCTTAGAAATTTTATTCACTACCTTTCCACCAAGTGAAGTAATTTCCCGCTTGATCTCATCTTTTTCTTTGGACAGCTTTCCCACAATCACAAATTCCATGTTGTACAGAGCTGGCAATTCTCTTTTTACGCGAGGGCTGAAGAAATAAATGATTATTTGAATCTGATAGTTAAGATCACATAAGGTTTTACATTTTGGAGCAATTTTCAAGTGTTTCTAATTTGAGCTCATGTGTATCATTATTAGACATAACCATATAAATTATTCTGATACAACTTTGGACTTTTGAGGTGCTTCTGCAGCATGTGGCAAGTTTAAAAATTAGATTGGCTGGTTTTATTAAAATATTGTTTTTATATAAATCTCTGTTCAAATATGTAATGCAAGCAAATATTTTGATAAGTACCCATCAGGTTCATCATCCTTCTTAACTACAATGCTTGGTTTAACTTCTCGGATAACTCTTGTCATTGGTTTGTATTTATACTTTTTCAAAAATGAGTAAGCTTCAGCGTAATCGTCTGGAACCTGAAATATATATAAATGTTCATGATGCTTCTGTAAATAAACCTCGCGTTTCTGTAAGTGTTTTGTCACAATGCATAAGTATTGTTTGCTTATGTGTTTTTGGGGCACTAAGCAATGTATAAATTGAGGATGTTCAACTGAAACTCACTTTAAATGGTACTCGTTCAGGAGTCTTTGTAATAGTGTTACATTTACTCCACTCAGTTAGGTCACCAGTACAGATGTAACCAAGCTTATTGAATACCAACTGTCCTCCTTTGCAGACTGTACAAGGCTTGAGTGCTCCAAATGTCATTATGTCAGATAGACGATCCAATATCTGAAAGCAAAATACATTTTCTCGAGTCATCTTTAATTTTTCAAATTCGACGTTCACCGTTGGAATCTTGGAAATAGTAAGAAATACAAAGTCGGTTAAATGGGGGCAGAGTATTTCCGGAGATAGATGAAAGAAAACGAATCTTTCCAAAACAGTTTTCATTTTGTTTTGACTTTATTTTAGGTGGGATCTCAAAATAAATTGCAGACCAAAATTGGCACTTTTTCCCCTCTACAAAAAATATTAGAAGGTTGACTCCCACGCAATGCTGTTATCAGTTCATGAAGGATTGTGTTCAGCACTAACTAGACCCTCTGAGAAAAAAGTCAGTCAAACAAGTCGATACAATTAGTTAATAGATATTATTTCCCTGTCCTACCGGTGCTGGATCTGGAAATGTTGCCTGTCCGTTTAAACGTGGCGCGGCAGAAATTCGTGTGATACCATACCAGAACCAACAACACAGCACCCACGAAGGCCTTACTGCTGAGAATAGATTTAAGGACTAATGTAGTCCATGATTTGTGAAAAATGTCTAATATGTGCGTAGAATTATCAAGGTTGAGAGCGGATAAACGTACTAACATCACATAACTGAGATCCACTGAAACGTGAAAAAAAAAACGAAATTTAGGCGACTTTTAATCTTTTTCGTTTTTGACCTTTTTCTCAGCCGCCACTGGACCAATTTTCAAAATCTACAAAGCTTTTGCGTTATTGACATTGTGTAAAAAATTCATCGAAATCCGAGCGGTACTCCTTGAGTTATAGGCGGTTATAAGATTCGCAGAGAGACCGACAACCAGACCGACGGAAATGAGTCACGTGGTTTTTCGTGATGTGCATGTCAATAACATCCAAACAACATAATTCAATACTTTCCCGCAACTAGGCGTGGGAAGTAAAAGGCATAAATTGAATTTCGATATGACGGTTCGTCTCTTGTTATCAATCATCGACTTTAGTTTTTCTAATAGACGTCATAATGGATATTTGCACAGCTGAATAGTTTTTAAATCTGATACCAAAAATCTATAATGTCATACTCATTCCACAGCTTAGATAACAATAGATAAAACTCTCATGTCAGTGTCAAAAACGGCCGTCATTTTGGCGGAAAAAGTCAAATATAAATTCCTCCAGTACAACGATGAATGAGGTTCTAGTGCTCAGTAGCAGCCGGTGTTGCCTCATATCATGCCAGCGGCCGCATATATTATTTGCAATCTTAAAATGATAATATTTCGAGATGATATAGTGTACCAGCTGCTGCTGAGCACTAAAAACTATTTCATTGTTGTACTGGGGGAATTTACATTCGACTTTCTCCGCCGACATGGCGACCGTTTTTGACACTGACAGGAGAGTTTCATAGCTTATTGTTATTTAAGCTGTGCTCATACATTGACATTGCCAAAGTTTAGGAAAAAAAACCGGAATTTCCTAAGTAGGCCTTGAAATTATCAGAGTCATTTGTCTCATAATATTAAAGGCCTATTCATATTCAACCGTGACGTGACAGTGTTGTGACCGGCACGTGATCCGCCCGGCGAAAAACTAATTGTATTTGTGCGCGCACATCTTGTGCTGTAGAACTAGTCAAATTCAAATTACATGAACTTCCGTTTTCTTCTCGTTTCTTCTTAAAATTTTGCCATTTCGACCGATCTCACGTGAACACAACTGCACTGTCAGAGCAAGGAGAAAAACACTGACCGGTGTGAATTGAAAACACGGTGAGCTCACGTCAGCGAGAATCACTGGCACGTCACGGCAATGTCACGTCATGGCTGAGTGTGAATGGACCTTTACAGCCAAGCACTCCTTCAGGTTTTACTAACTAGGCATAGATGAACATGAAATTGATTGGTATTATACAACTTCATGACTAAAAAAGTAATCTTCCTATAGTTGATCTTAACTCATTGAATAAAGAACAACAATGCTAAAACATGTTTGTATTATTTAAGAGCAGTATTGAAAACATTGAAAAATGTAATATATAACTAACAAAAATAAGGGGAAAGCTTCGATGATAAACACCTATTGCATTCAAATACTATTAATTTACGGCTGATGTGTCTTTTAGAGCGTGCCCATCGTGCTAAAATAATGCTTTTTATAATCCATAAATGGACAAATCATCTGAATGCCCTTTAAACACGCGTCTCAGAAACTGAAGCGTTAGTGATTTAATCAGACATGCGATGAGCTGTCATTTTCAGGGCTAACTAGGAACATACTAGTTTAATTGAAGTAACCTTTTTAATGTGTGGCATGGTTAGATGGTAGAATAGATATATTATCTAAATCTCGCCTCCTGTAAGAACATTACAAATAAAAGACGTTAATTATTAATTATTATTTTGGAATCAAAATCAAAAACTCTATTCACTTCTGCAAAAATCGAAGATGGCGTCCATAAAAAATAAAGTTGATGATTGAGGACAATAGATGGAAAGTCATATTGAAATTCTAATTAATCCTTCTTATCCACAAAAAGTGGCAATTGTAATGAGTAGTGTATTTTGATATCCCACCTGCAATAAAGCCAGGAAGACTAAAAACGATTTTGAAAAATTTCTGTTTTTTCCGCCTCTCTTTGGAATAACTTTGAATTACGAAACTTTTTGAGTGCCATTGTGTTAGTTACTTCATATATCTTACCAGTTCTGAGATCCCAATGGTAAGAGTTGAATTTGAAACACCCGGTATAAATAAAAAAACCGATGGCTCCAATGATAGTGTATGAGGGTTCAAAATATAGTAAGACAAAAATCTACCATTTAAATATATATGAGTACTAATAGGGAATAATATGCATGTGATTCAAATATTGCCTAAATATTTTTATTTACTGTCTATATTGCTACAGTATGACGTCTTGAACCGTATTTCATACTTGAGCGCTATAAAATCACACCAATAAAAAATTTAAAAAAATACGCGGTGAATTTGAAGTATCGAAACGCAACGCTATCGGCTTCATGTCACGATTTGCGACCTGTGATCAGCCAGCTCTATGTTGATTAGTTTAAAATGACAGGAGTTTATTCTCACTGTTATTGATTGTCAATTTTTCTGATTGATGTTTCAGCTTTTCAGCGTAATTTGTTAAAATAAACATAACATATAAATACTTTGCAGTCTTACGCGCAGATGGAGAGTCAAAAATTCGACAGTAACCTAACCAAAAAACAATCAAATGGCAGGCCGGCAGGGGTATGATGTGAAAACCCCGAAACCCGTAAAAAAAGTTCATTCCACGTTTGCCCGCTGTGAGAGCCATCAAAAGCGTTCATCTATAGAGGAATGTCTCCACGTCGCGACATGCATTTTGTTGGTTGCTTCCGGAAAGCTGAGTAGTCTGTACTGTTTATCTCTGAGAACATGTGAAAGAAAGTAGGTTGAGTAGCAAGATCGCATCTGGATAATTATGTGTATTGACCTGCATGTGCATAAAATCAGTGATATTCGCTATGTGAGAAAATTATTAATGAAGATGATGTCAATGAAGTATATTCACTAGCTGTGCCCGACGGGTTATTTATTTGTTGTACTTTGTGGAGAGAAGTTGGCCCGAGTAAAGATAACCACAAGACAACTATTGAAATATACTCTACTAGGCTCTACAAGACTATCAGGCACGGGTATTACGAATCCTGAAAAATGACATTATGCTGATTTTTTTGACATTCTGTAGGTTTTTCTACAAGATGTTAACTCAGCACTAGCTGATATACACGTAGTTAACTCGTTTTGTAGTTGTACGTGTTACCTAAACGTCATGAGGCTTCAGTTATCAATGTTTGGCTCTAACGTGATGCTTCAGAGATGGTATTACTGGAGGTCAAAACGAGTTCACAACAAGTGTACAACAGCCAGTGCTAAAGTTGACATGTTGTAGAAAAAACAAACAAATGGTTAAAAAACGACAAAATGTCATTTTTTCAAGATTCGTAATACCTGTGCGGGGATGATGACGACAATGAGAAGCGTGCCAAAAATGCGGTATATAAATCAGCGTCATGGGAATTGCAAATATAAAATGTGATAAGTACACATAACTTACAACATGTAAAGTCAATAAGAATTCAAATAACAATAGTTATGCATTACTGAAATCTCTCTCTGATCTCTGAGTATATACAAGCAATTTTTGACCCCTCATGAAAAATTGTACTCTATTAGACATAGCAAGTTGGTGTCATCAACAAAGTACTTACTCTATCTTTTCCAGGTGGTACCTCTTGATCATTGTACTCCAAAAGATAGGACATCTCTTTATTGTCCAAATGCTTTGCTAAAGCATCTCTATAACCAAACATAATTTTATTCTGCTTTCTATACTCCTCTTCTTCTGGGCCTTTCTTTACACTATCCACCTGATCTTCTGTTTTTATCTTCTTCACTTCGGGAATATTTTCTTGCTTTATTGGCCTGAAAGTAACCAACATCTTTAAGAAAAAACATCATATTTTATCCAAGTTTGGCTGAATCAAACCGCATATATGTTTACAATTCCTTATGACTTTTTGGTACCAGCTGTGGCATTTTTCAAGTACAATGTGTTGATACCACAATGTCATAAAATAAAGACGGATTTTAAACATTTCCGGTTTGATTCGACCAGACAAACATAGAGTATTATCAGCTTGAAAACCACAAGGATAAGTTTCGGATGTTACAGCATTCTTTATACTACACCTCACTATTTTATTCTACAAAATCTCTCAAGTCTCAGAACATTTGAAGTCAGTAGAGAATACAGTAAACTCCGGTTATAACGTACCATCTAGGGAGAAAAAAATGAGTACTTTATAACCGGAGGTATGCTATAAACGAAACCCATAAAAATAAATATGTAAATTTTGGTTCAATTAAAGGACTGAACTAACTAAACATACATTCTAGGTATGTAATATAAAAAGCATATAGCAATATGAATATATGTAACATATATCATTGAAATAGGACAAAATCAAATTAAATATGTACAATTACATATCTAATTACGCATAGAGTTATGATTTTTCGAGAAGATAACTTATTTTTGTTTGTTGATTTTTTTTACACACTTTTATATTCTCAGTGTGCTTCTCAACTTTTAATTAACGAGGCTTGTAAAATTTATCGTCAGATCCATAATCAGTAAAAATTGTAAGAAATTTGTAATAGTTTTAATTGCACAAAGTGCTTCAGAATAACTTGGAATTGGTTCGTTCACTTGTCCATCATCATCGCCGCTTTCGTTATCTGAACTTAGATGATTCGTTGAATAGTTTGACTCTACAACTTCAGCAATAATGTCACAATCCGTTAAGGTTTCCGCTGCTTCCAAATTATCGTCGATGGTCGTAAAATTATCTAGTTCAGGAAGACATTTTTCCACAGTAGTTAAGTCTGGGCAGTAACTTCGCAACCAATCACTTAGGGGGACGTTCCAATCATCATCATCAATACTTTTGTATTTCTCGTACCATTGATTCAGAGGCAAGTCATCATCTGAATCAAACTCGTTGATCGATTTCACTAGACCAGCATGTTGAAAGCAGTTTCCAATAGTGTTTTTTGAAACGTCATTTCATGATTGTGCAATTAATTTTATCGAGTCTAAAATTGTTATGTTGAAAGTTTTCTTATTATCCAATGCTCGGATTAGACGATACATAAAATATCTACGATATGTTTCAACGCATTTTATCATGTCTTGCTCCATTGGTAGCACGACCGAGGTGGAATTGGGAGGCAACAATTCTAATCCGATATATGTCAGATCAACATTCTTATGATGAGCTGCACAATTGTCAACTAGAAGCAATATTTTCTTTTTTGACGTCTTAGTTTTTCATCTCACTCCAATGAAATAAGTGGGTATTTCTCAGCAAATTAATAAAATATATATATATATATATATATATATATATATATACAATCAAATCTGTTCATATTCTTATAAATTGAATATTACTAAAATATTTGGTAATAAGTATGGATTATATAGCCAAGCATTCATTGATATAAAATAAATATGCCTATAAAAAAATCTATTTAAATTATGTCACTTGAAATGAAACCATTCCCTCACCCATTATAAATATTTGATTTGTGGATATTTTTGAACGCAGCTATTAAGTATTTAAAACTTTGGCAATACTGCTAATAATGTCAAAATGGCGGATTTTCTTAATAGTGAAAAGAGTTGCTGCAAAAAAATATTGGATTTCAATAATTCGAACATTACATTTCTCTGTGTCATTACCTCACTGTCTATATTAAAAGGTAAGTCATTATACTGTTCGAATGGCTTAATAATTTTTTTCTTGTTTTGGGGAATGGGGAAAACAAAGAAGTTAAGTGAAGAAGAAAAGAAATTAAAAAAGAAGGAGTACGACAGAAAGAGGCGGGAATAAATGAAAATTAAAGCTAAGTCTTTAGAAGCTTTGCGTGAAAAAGAAAGATTAAAGTATTTAAAGAAGAAGTCAAGTTAAGTCAATAAGTTCTATGAGTGCAAGAGAAACTAGCCAAAACGAAAACAATGGAAAAAGAATGCTAAAGTTTCTAGGGTAAAGCGAGTTATATTACAGAGAATAGTTGAAGAAACACCCCCACCACGTCCTGCACTATCTTTACAGCACAGAGCAGAGAATTTGTCTGATCTCAATAGTAGAATGCCCAAGCGGCGAACTATTCTTTAAGCGAAGATTAAAAGTTTGGAAAATAAAGTAAGCAACACAGTCAAGCTTAGCGAAAAATATAACAAGAGGTGTTTGAGATTGAAAACTAAAAATACTGACCCAAACTCTCCAGCAACTAAAATATCTTCGCTTTTACAGAATATACAAGTTCCTGACATTGTAAGAAAAATACTCATTTTCGGAGAAGCACTGTCAACGGACCTCACGAATATCTATGAAGATCTTGGAAGTAAACATGGAGAAAAGAAAAAATATTACAAAATGTTGAAGCTGCAATTAGTACAAAAGATAAAAATTGCTATATAGATCGAAACATTTTTTCAAAAACGATACATACAAAAAGAACTGTACTCGTAAAGTTAGCTCCAAAATACTGAAAGTTAAGGGTGATGTTCATTTCTTAGAGAAGGATGAAAATACGAGGATGTGCCCAGGGAAGGACTATCTAAGCTCTCTAAAGTATAAAACAAATCTCAATACATCTATTAATAAATTAACTTATGTTTTTTATTGAACTTTAGCATCAAATTGTTGTAAAAATCATTCCCCCATCCTATAAGTCATTCATTTCATAGTTTTATAAAAGTCATTTTTTCTCATGTTATACACAAAAATATGGAGGACCTTCATTTTCAATGAACCTCACTAAAGTAAAACCTTATATTTCTGCAAAAAAAGGATATAATTTCATTATTTCTTTTTTTCAGAAATGCAAAATGAAATTTCTAAATTCGTTGAGAAATACCCAAGTACGAAATAACCGAAAGTATGTTATATCCCATGTACGTTATAAATGGAGTATCCTGTATATGCAATGATTAACCAGAAAAACTATAATGTACATCCTAATCCATACATCTAAAAGTACAAAGCATATTGTATGGTAGATTCAGTCTGCATAAAGCTTGCACAGTGAATCTTCAAAAATTCAAATCTTACGGAATTTGTTTTTTGACTTCAACTTGATCCTTAGGGCTAAGTCCTTTGAATCCAGGCAGCTTGTCAGCACTTTCAAAAAAGCCAAGATCAGCTCTTAACTGGGCAAAACATTGAACATGATGCCACATGTCTTGACCTCCATATTTGGCACCAACATCTGTTTCATAATCTTTCTTTGAGATTCGAATCTGGAACATAAAAAAAATAAAAAGTGGGTGGGTTTTTCATATTAAAGATTCACATAGAAGAGCTGCAAGAAAAGGAAAAAGCAGAGATGGAGGAAGCCACAAAAATGAGTTTTCCAAATGTGTATAAATGTTTGATCTAGATGTTATATAGAAATCTATTTCATCATAAAATCTGCTCCCACACAGAAACCTCATATTTTGTACAACACTAGAGGATTTCTTAATCACAAACATACAATAATCCTTTATGATGCAGAATCAGAATCTCATAAAGATATAGGAAAATTTGATCATACCTGTAGTGATGTTTTCCAAACTTGTGAATCTATAATTTATTTATTTTGTTGAAAGATCTATTAGCTAGTTATTATGAAAATTACCTCCTCCTTGAGTACTTTTTGTTCACAACCTCTGCACATAGCTCTTCCAGACTTAGCATACTGAATCGTAAAATCTTTAAGTGCCTGTTGCTTCAATTTGTCAACAGTCCTTTTCTTTCCCTTTTTATCTGGTACAATGGCAACAGCAGATAGACCAACACGTTCCTTGATTTTATCTTGATCTGCAACTCGGATAGATTCATAGTGTTCTATATCATCTACTGTCTTTGGTCGTTGCTTCTCAAAGAAACATTTGAAGTGGTACCAGTTTGGGGTCTTGCCATCAAAGTGACGAGACTAAAATGTATAATGATAAAGAGAATCAGAGTAAAGTACTATAGTTTGTTGTAGTCACAGTTCTTGATGGTTACGTCATCAACGCCTCACGAAATAAGTAAACAGATCGAGTCTCTGTACCATGGGCACAGACTAATCTTCAGCGCATCTGTTACTCTCTCCAGTACGCATGAAGTAGGTAACAGGGTACCTCTGTTTTCATTCTCTTCCTGGAAATTTTCATTTATTTATATATTTATTTTTAAAAATTGATCGTATTTCTGGGAATTGTACAATTTTAGATTGAAACGACAATGTTTTCGAGACTGAGACACAGAACTAAAAAACGTATGTCTGAACTTACCGAAAATATGTTCACACACAGGGGTAGGCTGCATGTGTATGTATGGGAGAGATGGGTGTATGAAAGCAATTCCTGCAGTTTTACTTTCAACCACCAAAAACCGTGAAAATAACTATATCTAATCTGCAAAACTCTAGTTTCTTTCAAATCCATGAAATCCATTTAAAACTGTAGGTCATATTCTAAATCATAAGTCGCTTTCAAAATGAGAGGAGAAACAGTTACATCAAAAGCCAAAGATAGATTTAACTGGGGCAAGTAGAAGAATAGCTGCAAAAGCTAAACTTCACCCTTTCGTAATGTAATCATTATAAATAAAGGTGATGATTATTATTATTACTTAAATAAGATAATATATTATAGTAATTTATCTGATACATAACCTGAGAAGTTCAGTTATCATGCATACTTCCACAGTAGAATAACTTACGCCATTCTGGCATGGGGTCAATCTTCACACATGCCTAGAGTTTTTGGCTTACAGAGAAGATGTGTTAGATACATGTCAAATTTGAATGTCAGGGATCCTTGCAGGAATTAATTCATTAAAATGAATATCTTGACACTGCCTTGTATATACATCTATGCTTGCTTCATGCATGTTAAAACTCACTCTCACAATTATAAATCCCATCAAGATATTCATAATTACAACATCAGAAACAAAGAATATTTGTATCCGCAAGTTAAAATTCTGCAAACCATTGACAAATAAAATAAAATCTCTCAATGTTGAACAATTTGGCAAAATCATGGAATGCTTCCTACTATCTGAAGCTTTTTTTTATGTTGATGACTTCATTAACAATTTTTGGAGCATGAAATAATTTTTATTAGGTATATATAGTCTCTTTTATGATTTTTTAACCATCTATATTTATTGTTCATCTAAATATTAACTTTGGCTCTACTAACTTATTTACCCCTTATTGCCACTTTGTGCTTCATGTTTGTTTTACTTACATATTGTTTGATGTTTTTATTTACTCTTTTAAGCAATAAAGCAAACAGTGCATGTACAGAATATACTGTAAGATTAGTGAACAATATCAATCTTCAAAATTTCAAACAAAGACTATGTAGAGAATCTTGGAATGTTGATGAGAGCAATGACATAGACACAGCATTCGGAGTTTTCATGGAAACTTTTTTATGGCACCTCAATATAACTTGCCTTCAAAGGACAGTCTCATAACGCAAAAAAACACACCAATGCATGGGTAACAGATGCAGTAAATACAGTAAAACATTCTAGTGAAACGCTTCAAGGACTCCATGACATATTGAAAAAACATAAGTATGACGAATATCTAAGGTGTAACTGGCGGTAAAGAAGGCCCACAAACAGCTGATTATCAAGTCAAAGCGGGACTATATTAGTGATGAAATTGATCGCGCCGATAACATGCCGAAAACAGTCTGGGAAGTAGTCAACTCTGAGCTGGGACGCAAAAAACAACACTCACCTATTTCTCTTACCAACGAGAACGACACAGTGATTGACACTCCATCATGTGTATTGGAGGAATTTGGTAAACACTTTTCCACAGTTGTAGGAAGCAAATTAAAGAAAATTTTGCTATAGGTATACTTGTGTTCAAGAAATGCGATCCTCTGCTAATCGACAATTACCGACCGATCTCTATTCTATCTGAATTTTCTAAAATGTTTGAGAAAATAATGCACACCAGAAAAACCAATTTTGCAGACTATTCTAATTTATGGCATTTGTATTTGTCAGCCATGTCAACAAAGAGCTAGACCATGGCAAATATGTAGCTGGTATATTTTTTGATCTATCAAAAGCCTTCGATATTATGAGTATCAGCATATTAGAGGAAAAGCTGTACTTCATGGGAATCAGGGGCTTTTTATTGAATTGGCTCTTGTATTTTTTGTCTGAGAGGCACTTGCCAGTTAAGGTGAATGGTACAATTTTGAAACAGTACAACATAAATATTGGAGCTGCTTAAGGATCACTATTTGCACCTTTGCTATTCATTTTATTTGTCAATGACTTGAGCCTATCTGGCTTTGTAATAAGCTACACTGATGATATCTCAGTTGTAGTAAGTGGTACTACATTCGAGGAACTTGTTCGTAATATCACCCTAGTGAAAAGTGAAATGCAGCTTTGGTGCCAATAGAATCGCTTGATTTTAAATACTGACAAGACTGTTATCATTCACTTTATTACAAGTAGGTCACAGCTTCATGTCATCGACAATGACTCAGGGATTTTTTTGAGGATTATGATGGATTCCAAGCTTACTTGGCAAATGCATATTGACGCAATATGTAAAACTCTCAACAAGTCATATTTTGCCATCTTAAACTGTGTAACACAAACAGTATTGTTTAATGCCAGCCATATAGTTTGGGGACAAGCCCATATTGTGAACAGGCCATTCACAATTGAAAAAAGAAAAGTGAGATTAATTTTTGAGATACCCAGGCGTGAATATCGTTGGTCTACATTCAAGAGTTATAATCTACTAACACTCTGGCACTCTAGATCATTAACAGCACTCTATATGCATTCCATAACAAATATAGGTTTGTTAAAAATAAAAATGCAAATGTTCATTACAGCACAAGAGCTGGCATGGATTTGAGCATACCATCACATGCATTAACAGTGTTTGAAAAGTCACCTGAGTATGCCTGTATAAAAATCTATAATAAGCTTTCCTCTGAGCTTTAAGGACTTTAGAATGTCACTTCTGGGGAGCTATCTTGTGGAGCTGTGCCCCTACTCAATAAGAGACTTTTTATGAGTCTATTATTCATTCTTTAGAATGTCATAATACTTAAAAAACTTCTGAGGAGGTATCTTGTGGAGCTGTGCCCCTACTCAATAACAGACTTTTTATGAGTCTGTTATTCATTCTTTATTATACATTATACATACTATATTTTAACATGTCTATTGTTTCATTGTGCTATTGTAACTGTTTGATTTAACAAAGCTCTATACCTTTTTTGCATACTCGTCCAATGTATGTATTACATCTTAGATATTTATGCAATTATTGACTTGTATAAACACAGTTTGTGTAAAATGCCAATAAACAACTATGACTATGTTTTACATTAATTGACTTGTGTGATCAGTATTTCTCATAGGGGCAATACAGCCATCATAAGCTAGAATGCAGTACGTGTAAAAAATGGATTATAATATGAAAGGCATGTAGAAGAATATTTTAATGGTAAAATACAGTATATATGTCATGATATAGAAAATCTAGAATTTTTCTTTTACGATCATCTTAAATGATACCTGCACAATAATAAACTAAAACATAGTAAACATCCCATACTTACTGTATTCTTGCTTAAAAACCATACAGCTACTGTGTTTTACTTTATAACTAAAGCAATTGCGCCAGCAGAAACTTTAAGAGGCACTTACTCTGAATTCATAATATTTTTTGAATTACTTTTCATCGATCGTGTAGTATAATATATTTGTAAAGATACTGTAATAAATGTTTATGGGTTTCATATACTAAGAATTATATATGCCGAGAGTGTGACAAACAACATGGCAAAGTACTTGCTGTATTATTAATTAAGAAACAACAGTTTAGACAATTCTGAGTTAACAGTATATGCTTTTTCATTAATAGATAGGCATCCTCTGTAAACTCGATGAATTCATTAGCTAATATTGCCAATTTTGCCCAGGTTCAGACCAAAAACATTATTTTTTCTTAAAACGTTACATCATTACTGTAAAATGTAAAATTAGCAGATACTACCGCCCCCCCTGTGGGCATTAGGGTCCTACTGATGAGGCTGTAAGGAGCCTAGGGAAATTGGGGGTGACGAATAATTATTGGTTTGGAGAGGCAATGCAATTACTAATTAAAATCTTTGTAGCAACTGAAAACAAAAATTGAAATTTGTGTACCTAGACCAATACAACCTATGCGGTCCCCAAAAGTAATGGCCATGAAAAATTTCAAGAGTCATGTTATATTACAACTGGGATAGGAGAGGCAGTGGAAATCTGTAGAATATATTAGAAGACGTATTGGTTGATGAGGTATTATTAAAACATAATATCCTACCTGGACCATAACGGCAAGTCTCAGATCGCCTTGATCTATTCCCATTTTGCATCCTCTACAACTTGCTCGACTTGATTTCGCATACTCTACACGATAGGGCAGATCCATGGTAATATTTTTACACAAATGTCACTGAAATTCACACCAAATTGTCGTCTATATCAAAATATTACGCTAATAAGCGACAGTAAAAAGGTAACAAAAAACCCGCCAAAATTGCCAAATAGACAATTGACGAATTGACAGATGAAGGCTTCATGCTTAATAAAGACAGTGGAAGATTTCTCTACAAACGTGGTCACTCTTTGTTTAAAAGTCTTTAAAAGTTTTCCCACAGATGACGCAAGAGCTGAGGTTTGTGGCGCTATCTAGTAGGAAGAAGTATTACTTCTAAAATAGGAACAGAATAAAGGAAATGACCTAAAGCACTAAAGATTCAGCTACTGTTTCACAGATGACGTCAAAAGCGTTCTAGTAGAGAGAATTAGAAGGATAGAAGGGTTTATCTCTGGAGAGAATCCATAACTAAATTGATAGGAAAAAAATCAATTCTAAAGTCGCGTACACATCTGGCGAACGCATGTGGCCGAAGCCTTTCGACCGAACGCCGTCGGTAAATGTGTACGACCTAACAAACGCATGTGTTTGCCTTCGCGAGAGTTCGGTCACTGGGCGGTACATCAAAAGAAAATTGAAGAACGAATTCGTTTGGCTGTGTTTAGTGTGTACGCTTTTCAGTTTTTAAGTGTCTCATCGTGGTCATTTTGTTTTGAGTTTCTATTTAGCGATAATGGAGTGGACTAATTCCTCTTGTTTAAAACTTATTGGTTTATATCGAGAACGGGAAGTTTTATGGAATCCAGTGCATAAAGATTACAAAAATAAAATAAAGAAAATGGATGCCTGGAACGACATCAGCAAAACTATGAAAGGCGATACAGGGGAGGTCAAAAAGAAAATGGAATCTTTATTAACATCATTCCGACGTGAGAGACAAAAACAAGATAGCTCGTTTAAAACTGGCTCAGGAACCGACACAATTTTTAAATCTAGCTGGTTCGCTTTCAAAGAAATGCTTTTCTTGATGGACAAGTTTATACCAAAAGACACTAAACTTTGTATCTTGTTTCGCGATTTTTGGACCGATTTCATTTAATAACCATTCAAAATCAGTAGACTTCATTCTACAAAAATTTACAAAAAGTCCGTATTCCATTTCAGCTTTTAGATCACTAATTAAGTCCATCCCTCTATACCGACTTCTGCTTTTGAACAATGATGTCCACCAGCGCCGTTTTCGTCGTTTCTTGGGGGCTCTTTCAATGCTTCGGTCTCCGCCTCACTAATAATAATATACAACGCACTTGCAATAATTATATCCTCATCATCGGACGCCATTTTTTACCATTTACAAAAATACCCGCGAACCTCGACGAATGACTGCAAACGAATTCGTTCACCGTAATGTGGACGTGGACGGCAGAGCAAATTTTCCATCGAACGTCGAAATCATCGAATGAATTCGATCGAAGAGCTTCGGCCACATGCGTTCGCCAGATGTGTACGCGCCTTCAGAGGTGTGTTTGTAAATCACTTGGTAATGTAACACCGTGCATAGTAATGGAATGTAGATTGACAGATCGAATCTTACTTTGGAATACTGTGAAACTTTATTTTTCTAGAACGCCTAAATTATTAGTCATGTAATGACACTACTTGATGACAACCGACTAATTGCTAACCACGTTCTTTGCGACCATTGTAATTGAATCGGTGAGTCCAAGAACATTACAAGTCCAAAAAATGGCGTATTGAGTTAAGATAGCCAAATTGTTTAAAATTCGAAGACTCGTGTGTTGTGCTTAAAAACATTACAATGTTCAGGAATAATTCGGCTATACGCGCCACCTCTCTACGGCGTTGAGATGGAAAACATTACAGTCCAGGACATGTACTGTTTTCGACCTCACTGATGTGGGTGTCACAAATCGCGCGCGAGGTGGCGATAATAAATTATAAGAGTTAGGTTATCTCACTGCCGAGACAAACTTAATAGTTGGAAGCAGTTATTTTTGAGAACAACAATGATTAGTTCTAACGAGAGTGATGATAGTGCCGAAGGTTTGCATGGGAGTAGAAAGCGAAAAAGGAATCCGAAAGTTTGGAAAGACAATAAAAGGAAAACTGCTGCTCTTAAAGGTGAAGCCTATGTTTCTACATCCGGAAAAAGGGTTGCACCAAAATCATCTGGGTCTCCATGTGGGTAAGTGTTATTATCGATACTAAAAAGCACAGAGTAGTAACTTGCGTATTTTAAAGGTGCAAGGAGAAGTGCACAGAGAAGTTTCCCGATGAAGAAAAAACCATCTTAATTTCCAAACTATATGACGGTAGGCCCAAAAATGAACGTGACACATTTCTTCAAGGCCTAATTGAGGTGACAACCATTTCAAGACGTAGAGGACGAGTCCAAGCTAATGCTAAGCCCAAATCCGCAAGTTTTAAGTACTCTATATTGGAGAGCTCTGGAAACCGTGTGGCAGTATGCAAGCGAGCTTTCATGAGTATTTACGGTGTGTCACATATGCAAATTCAATGCTTAACTACATTGCTTGTGACCGGCGCATCTCCAAGAGATTTAAGGGGCCTACACAATAACAGTCCACGTTCCAAATCAGATGAAGTACCTACTAATCAGAATTAGGGAGCACATAGAACGTTTCCCACGTAAAAGTACTCATTATTCTTCTAGAGTACATCAATACCTAGATGCTAGGCTAAATGTTAAAACAATGCACTCTCTATTTATTAAAGAAAATCCTGATTTGCAGCATGATGTTAAGTATGAATTCTATTTAAAGTACTTCAGGGAAAATTATGCACTCAAATTTGGAAGACCACAGGTGGACGTCTGTTCCGAATGCGAACGATTAGGCGCCAAGATTAAAAGTAAAGATTTGAATGATAATGCAAAGCGAGTGGCCACAGCAGAACTGATAGTCCATAAGCGACGTGCCAAAAAATTTTATAATAAACTGCAGGATATCCAAAAACTCTGTCAAAATCGACCTGAAGTTGCCGGTATTACTTTAGATTACATTCAAAATCTACCCCTCCCGAATATACCAGTTCAAGAGATCTTTTATTTTCGGCAACTATGGGTATATGCTTTAGAAATTCATAATTTATCAGACAATTCTGGACATTTTTACACATACCACGAAGGGCATGCCTGCAAAGGACCAAACGAGGTCTGCACATTCCTCAAAAACTACATAGAGACTCACATTCCTGGAAACGTGACAGAGCTGCATATATTTTCTGACTGCTGTCCTGGTCAAAATCGGAATAACACAATAGTGAGATTTTTCCTAGCTCTACAAGCAACCAAACGGTTCAAAAAAATTTATCATTATTTTCCTGTATGGGGGCACTCGTTCTTGCCCTGCGATGAGACTTTGGAAGAAGCGACCGAGTGTATTTACCAGAAGAATATCAAGAGATGATAGTATCGTGCAGGAAGAACAACCCGTTTACTTTTAAAGAGATTACCTACAAACATATCATTGACTTTAAAAATTGGTGGCCTTCTAGCTACAAAAAAAACTGCGTCTTCGATCCCTAAACCTGGTGATACCACGCAGGCATTCACTGTTTCAAAGTATAGGCAGTGTTTATGATAGTTCTTCTCCAGGATATGTTACTACCTATCAATATATAGATGGTTTTATTTCTTATACTTTTAAGCTCCTCAAACAGAACAAACCAAGTCCTCCTTTGCCAGAGATACGCGCATATCAAGAGCCGGTTCCCATCAACCATAAGAAGATCACCGATATCAAAAAAGTCATGAAGTACATTAACGGTGAAACATTAGAATTTTACTACCATATAACTTCCTGGAAGCAAAGCTACGCAAACGGAGATCCCGATGACTAATATTTTTGTATGTATTCGCCCAATAAAACATTTTTCATATGTCTAGCAGCCTCTATAAGAGTTCCTTTCCAACTCTATTATACGCTAAATCTGCAAAGATGTACAAAAAAAAGACTGAGTTCAAGAACAGTACAAGTCCATGAACTTCACCCTTCTACAACTTCGAGGGGTGTGATTTTTGTCTATTTTTTATTTAAAATTAGTATTCATATAAAGAATCACTACCATTTTTGTATGATAGCCAAAACGGCTACACATTCGGGAGCTATGAAGTTTTTTCGCGTTTTCTCAGAACTATCTTTTTGGACTTGTACTGTTCTTGGACTCACCGATTCAATTATTATAAGAGACCCTGGGGATACGGGGTAGCATTTATCAGGAAAAATATATATTCTGCCAATTTTGAGCATTTTTTGACAACCAAACAAAATAAACAAACAATGAACCATGATAATGACGAGTGACAGAACTCTTATTTCCAAGGTTTTGAGCTCGGGAAGAAAAGCACACTTTTAACGTTTCAGGATTACGATGTTCTATTTCCGAACGCAAGACTTGCGTTACATTAATCAAATCCAAGCGAATAACCAAAATTTCTGTGTTATGTGCCGCGGTTATAATATGGTTCAAGATGACACACGGGTTGATGACGTCAGTTACACGAATCGCTTGAACGCGTTGGTTTTAACTGCGGTTTTGTTGTAAGTTGTTTATTTTAGAAAAGCGCGTATATCACCGACGATATATAGTCTCTTTATAGTCGGTGGCGTATATAATCTCTGATTATTTTTATTATCACTTAATAATCGGTGCTTTTTCGTCTACAACTGTATATGGAAAGTTTAAATAAGAAACCTTTCATAATATTCATGGGAGAAATGTTTTTTCAGATTTTTTTTTGAATGATGGAACCATGGCTTTGTAGCTATGATAACTTTCAATTCTCTAATTTTTTCCGCATGTCAAAGAAAACACTTACTGATTCAGCAGAAATGATGAAAAAAGAAATTGGCAAAACCGTATACAGTTGGATATCATCTAGTGAGTTTATATAGCCATATTTTAATATTCTTGTGGTATATGGCTACACAGGATACTTTGTTAAGCATAGGAACTACATTTAAAGTGTCCCCAACAACCGTAATGAGTATAACTAATAAGGTGCTCCACTTTATGGTAAAACTGAAGTCAGCCTGTATCAATTTTCTCAAAAATGAAGCTGAAGTACAATAACAATATCCAATACCCGGCAAAATTCTAACTTGTCACATTTCAAATAATAACCAGAAATATAAAACTACTCTTGAGTTGGGTAAATACCACAATTTTGCGGTGATAACTATGACATATAACAGCTG